GTGGTGTAAAAAGTGTTTTTCTATTTTCTCAAACAGTGTTAAATAAAACTAAATATTTACAGAAATTCCTACATCCGTGTCTTGAGTTTTTCACTTTATTACATAAAAGGCGTTTTTTTGGAACCTCAAAAATATTAACAGTAATAATTGCTATTTTTAATAATAATAGTAATAGATGTAAAATAGAATAGACACTGAAAATAAAATGGTTAGGAAGACTTTTATGTATTTTAAGTGCAGGAGGGGCTACATGATGGAACAATGGTTAGCATTGTCGCCTTGCATCTCTAAATTGCTAAATTGCTCCTAGGTATGAGTATTTGTCCTGTGCGTCTCTGTGGCATCTTTTAATAGACTGGTAACCTGTCCAGGTGTACCCAAACAAGCAGACGACAGACGGGTGTAAGAGCAGGAGGGTCAGGATTCAGATTTTTCTACAGCATGTGAAAGCAGGGAAAGTACATGCAGGGCTCGACTCTCCCTCCAGAGGAGGAGCCTGAGGCCGACATTTTTCCCCAATTATTGTTTGACTTGTCCAAGTGCACAGTGCACAGAAATGTGCACCCAGCTCTGCTGAACTTTGACCCTCAGAGCGATAACATCCCCATTTGTCCGTTTTTCTTTATCAGCTGAGCAACCTTGGCATTTGTGGGACGTCAGGCTGCTGTCCAACCTCTCTGTTGGGAAGGGAGTGGGCCGGTGAAATATACGACTTCCTGTGAGAGTTTCAGTTGTGAGCTTGGCAGTCCTGGACGGAGCTTCGGACGGCTAATCCACAGCTAAAAGCCCAGAATATTCAGATCAGCTTAAAGCAAAACAAGAAGATGAACAGAAACATCAAGTTGAGTAAAGATCTCCCAGACATTGAGGTAACTTGTTGCATGCATTTTTATTTGGGTTGCTATTAAAATCAATCAAATCTTTTGATTAGCTGTCTATATTATAATGTATCCATTGCACACAGTGTGAATTATGTTTTCAGAGTGCATGTTTACCATGTTATTAAGCAAGACCAATGTTTCTCAGGCACTGGCACCCCTGTTAAAATTTTGGGGGATTTGAGGTGTAAGAATATTGAGGCTATGATAAATAATTAAGATTTTTTTTCAGCATATAATGTGACATATCTGTACAATTTAAGTGGAAAAAAACTATTTAATGGGGGAAAAAAAGCTGCCTGCATAAATTGGGATCTTTGAACTTATTCTTTGTTGAGGCACCTTTTAGTTCAATTTTAGCCTTTTGTCTTGTGTTTTCTCCTGTTAATTGTTGTTTATTTCCCCCACTAAAATTGCCTCAGACTAGTCCTATGATACGAAAGTATCAGTCAGGAGAAGGGTACAGAATGTTTACAGCATTATTTAGTTTTTGACTTAAGAAAGAGTCTTAGACTTACATGAAGTTTAAGTCTTAAAATTAAGACTTAAGGTTATTTTTTTTTTAAATACAATCCTTTATATTTTAATTATCGTCTTTTATAATTAACTACAAACAGAGATTTGTGAAATAGTCTCCAGCACTGATTATGAAGCTCAACAGGGAGTTATTTTGCATACAACAAACCAGGATAAGTACTGACCTCTTATGAAATCATTTTACCAAAAAATAATAAAGGAGACTTTTTCTGGGCTTGTGCTTTTGAAATAATTCCACATTTGTTGTTCATTTACTTTCAATCCTTTAAATCCGCTGATTTAATCCACAGCTAAAACCTTTGTCATCTTTAAGTTTTAGTTTGAATTTAGAAGAATTTTACAGCTTTTAATCTGGAAACCTGAGATTTCCTGAATGCTCACACTCCCACATAGCAAGTGTAAAAAAAGTCTAAAACTGGATTAAAGACATCAGTGTTTAAAGTGAAACAATATTTATCACACAAACTCTGAACATAATCATACTAACATGAATAAATCTCTTCGAGTCACTTTATTTAGACCAATTATTAACACTACAGTCTTCAGCAGCCTTATGTTTTTTGCAAATCGGCAAGATGAATAAAGATCCAGAAACCATACGGTGTGGTTTTAACCTGAGTGAATGAACTTACGTAAGAAGCCATGTGATGGGTGTACAAACTGCAGACAAGTAGCACATGGTGGGGAGCGGGGAGCCGAGTGAGCACGTGAGCCGAAGGACCAACAGTTAACCATTAAAACCTGCGTTTGCATAGACAGTAAAGCAAACAGTGAAAAGCTTCTTGGTAATATTTGGATGCCAGTGACTGGAGGAAAAGGCTCGTTGTAGCTACTCAGTAGATATAAGACTTATAGATTTTAAATAATAAATAACATAAGAACAAACTGCATAAAAACAAAATATAAAAAAAATGGCATTTTCATTTCTGCTGTCATGCGTTGATGGAGCAACAGGTCACTTCTCTTTGGCATAGTGTCCTTGCAGTTCATCGTTATCTCAGCATGTTGAACCTATGAGCCTCTCTTCCAAGAACGTTCCTGTTTTTGTATTTTCTTTTCCTTTTTTTACCAGCAGATAACTGTCTGCTTTTCAGGCAGATAACACCAGAGGTTCTTATACAGTGACATCAATCAATATCAATCTTTTGTTTGTAAAAAAAAAATTGATTCAAAAAGTAATTAGTCAATTTTAGTCATATCATTATGCGTCTTTATATTTGATTTTGAATTATAACAAACAAACAACATAATAACCTAAATTCCAACTCTTACACTTGTTTTCATTTGTCTGGAAGGCACAACATTATATACCACGACAAACAGATTACAATTATAATGGCATGTGAATTATCTTTTATTGGTATTAATTTGATATGTTAAATAATAACCAATAATATTAAATGTGTTTTCACTAAGAGAGAAATATGTGCAATTAAAAATAAGAGACTGAAAACATCAGTGTGTAGTTAATCTTTATTATGTATTCTAAAAATGAATTGTGTTAGTGAAATTTAATTTTTCAATAATATTCCAATTTATTGCACATAACTGTATTTTCTGATTGAAACCTTAAAAGCAAGTCCAGTGAGCTTTTACTAATAAACATATAGGTGGAGATAAAAAAAAAAAGAATAATCTAAAATAATCTAACTCTGTTGGAATCTGATAATCTAAAATAATTATTATTTTCTTCTTTTCAGAGCATCCTGGCTCTGAATCCCAGAGTGAAGAGTCATGCTCAGATCTTTTCTACTGCAAGCAAGAAGAAAGAGAAGAAACACTGGAAGAGAAACCCTGAAAGAAACTGTGATGTAAGAAAGTCACACGCGACTGACACGCATCGGAGATGTCAGTGTAACTGAATAGTTGGCGTGTTGCTCGTCTCTGCTTGTTTTCAGTCTTGCCTGAAGTTAGAAAACAACTTTGATGACATCAAGCACACAACTCTGAGCGAGAGAGGAGCTCTCCGGGAAGCACTGCGGTAAAAAAGAGACAATGTTGTTTTCTTAAGCAAATTAATCCCAGGCACAGAAACAGCCACATTATGCAACATAAATAAACTGTCTGAGATTAAATAGGTTATGTGTAACAATAATTTGTAGCAGCAGAGAAGAAAAAACATTACGGATGCTGGATGCTGGTAGTGCCTCTCCACAAAGCAAAATGTAGAAGTTTGAAGTTATTTTAAAACAAAACTCTGTCAGGAGAGATTTTAATGATAACTAAACATGCAACTCTTCAAGCTTCGAACAATAAATGTATATTTTTCCAGTAAGACCTGAGCTGCCTCAGGTTCACTCATAACTCAAAGAACTTAAAGTGCATCAGATTGTTACGACAAGCTGAACAAGGCCAGACAAGTAAGTCAATGCTCTGCATGTTGGACCTGAGATGTGAGCTTTTTTTGTTGAGAGCATTTTCCAAAGAATTTACTGTGCCACTTAGATATTTCCGTTCTTTTTAGTAGTTATTTTTATATGCTATTTTGTTTTTATTTTTCTCTGATACTCTACTTATTTTTTTTATCATTCTTTTCATTTTAAGATACTTTAAATTGAGTTTACAAGAACTTTGAAAGCTTCTAAAAAGTCTTAATTTCCTCCCAGAATTTAACAGTCTTTTGAATTAATTTTTTTTTATATCCTGTGGTCAGTTTGTTGAATGTTGTAAATTTTGTTTCCTTAAAAGTACTAATTAAACTATGCTAATGACGATGCTTATTTGTTGAATCTCTTGGGATTACATCATTAAAAACTTGAACTTTCTGAAAGAAGCAGTTCATTTAATTGAACCAAAATCTGTTTTCAGGTGTCTAAAATGTGCCGATGCTCCCTGTCAGAAGAGCTGCCCGACAAACCTGGACATCAAGTCATTCATTACAAGTATTTCCAACAAGGTGCAGAAGCAAACAATCAGATCATTCCTGTCATAAAAGGACAGGAAAAGAATTAAAATAGTTCGTGTGTCTGTGTAACAGAACTACTACGGGGCAGCGCGGGCCATCCTCTCTGACAACCCTCTGGGTCTGACCTGTGGGATGGTTTGTCCCACATCAGAGCTGTGTGTCGGGGGCTGCAACCTGTACGCCTCTGAAGAAGGACCCATCAACATCGGAGGGCTGCAGCAGTTTGCTACTGAGGTACAAATATCGTCTGCTCCAGAAAAAAACACTGAAACATCAGGTTGATTTATGTACCGGGACATTTTATTCTTGCGCCTTTACTGATATTGCTCAATCGTAATCATCCTCAGTTATATTAGCAAGCAGGAAATAAGCTTTTAGAGGTGTGGACATAAATGTGCACTGTCTTTGTGTCTCTGTACAGGTGTTCAGTAAAATGGGCATCCCTCAAATCAGGAACCCTGAACTCCCAGCAGCCAATGAGATGCCAGAGTCCTACCACGCTCCTATTGCTCTGATTGGCTGCGGCCCAGCCTCAATCAGTTGCGCTTCTTTCCTGGCCCGTCTGGGATATGATAATATCACTATATTTGAGAAACAGAAGTACATCGGAGGATTGAGGTATAATAAATTCATACCATCTGTAAAAAGTACATTTATTATTCATATTAGGTGGCATTTCATTTAATTTATTAGTCTATTTCTGTAGGAACAAGTGTTTGATGTCAAGAAATACAGAGTATGTGAATGTTTATAGTCTGACTGTAAGCAGTTGAAAACGGACTACAAAACAAAATGACATCAGATTAAATACGTGGTGCTGAACTACGACTAAACAACATGATCTATCCTCCGAAAGTGATTTGGCTTTCATTTAAAATGAACTAAGTCAGTCAAAAATTATTTAATCCCATTTACTCTGGCATCTCTAAAAATCTAGTCATTACCATCTACCAAATCTGACAGGCTGTTCGGCTACAACATTAGAAGCAGCAGAGAGATCCATTGTATCTCTGTTTCTAGGACATGAACTCCATAAAGTCTGGAAACTAGGGAAAAGTCACCAGAAGAAAGATGAAGGAAACTATAGAAATAGAAAACCTGTATGTGGCTGCAAAAAACTCTTCAGACTGTGATGGGAAGTCACCCTGCAGTAGGATAATCACCTTAAATATATACATAAAGATACAATCTAATAGTTTAGATCAAAGCATATTCATTTTCATTGATTATATATTAGACTGATTATCTAACCTTCCAACCTGACTCAGCTATGCTTGGCATTTAAAGAAGAAGGGCAGCTCTAATTGGGGCAAAATGTGCTTCTATAAATAATTCCTGCAGGAAAACTGAAAATAAATGCATCCTACACTTTTCAGATTTTTACTTGAAAACCAGTGTTTTCAAGTAAAAAAGACTTGCTTTTTTCTTCTTCTTCTTAATTGTAGTAATATAATACTAATATTTTGCGTTTGTCTATATCACTAAATTCCAAATAAATGTATTGAATTTTATTAGTTTTATTTGTATTAGTGCTTACATGTGGTACTGCAGAGAGTTTGCTTAATCTTTGTACAGAAAAATGTGACAAAAGTACCTCTGAAAAAGGGGAAATCTTGACACTTCAGTGCTTGAACTTGCTCTTGCAGCACCTCAGAAATCCCTCAGTTCAGGCTTCCCTATGAGGTTGTCCAGTTTGAAATAGATTTGATGAAGGACCTGGGAGTGAAGGTATTACTTTTGCATTCTCGTGGCACATTTTCCTGTTTGTAGGAGTTGTTGAGTCTTCACAGTTTTCTCAAAACGTGTGTGTTTACTGTGGTGTGTGCAGGTGGTTTGTGAGAAAGGTTTAGGTGTTAATGGAATGACTCTTTCATCCCTGAAAGGGGAGGGATTTAAAGCTGTCTTCATTGGGATTGGTGAGTTGAATCCACTCATCATTACCATCAGTTATAATCCACATTAAGATTGTGATGTTCGAGAATGTCTGTCTGTGTGTGTTTGCATTTCTCCAGGTCTGCCTCAGGCTAACAGGGCCGAGATCTTCCAGGGTTTAACTGTGGACCAAGGCTTTTTCACTTCTAAAGACTTTCTGCCTGTGGTGGCTTCTGCCAGTAAGAAAGGTACTGTGAAGTCAAGCTGCACGGTCCAACCAATTCCTGCAAATGAACAGTTGTAATGAATGAACAATTACCTATATTATGTGAAAATACCAACCAGTTTCTGTAGCTAAGTTTCAAAAACCAATGTTTAGTTTGGGGAAATATATTCTAAGGCAAAATCCTGTGTAGGTATGTGTCAGTGTCGCTCTGCGCTCCCGGAGTTAAAGGGGGTGGTGATCGTGTTGGGTGCCGGCGACACCGCATTCGACTGCGCCACCTCAGCTCTGCGCTGCGGAGCCAGGAGAGTCTACGTCTGCTTCAGGAAAGGTTTCACCAACATCAGAGCCGTTCCTGAGGAGGTGTGACGAGAGATGATCAGACACAATGTTTTAAAAACAGATCATTTGATGACTGCGCGTGTTATTTCTGGTTTGTCAGATGGAGCTGGCTAAAGAGGAGAAGTGTGAGTTCCTGCCCTTCCTGTCTCCTCGTGAGGTCATCATGAAGAACGGCAGGATCGCCGGGCTGCAGTTCTGCCGCACCGAGCAGACCGAGGAAGGCAACTGGCTGGAAGACGAGGATCAAATCATCAGGCTGAAGGCTGATTACATTATTAGTGCCTTTGGGTCCATGCTGAATGACCCACAAGGTAAGTTATCTTCAAAGAATTTTGGTATTTCTATGTCATTACAACTAACATAAATACTTCTAAACTTTAATTTTTAACATAGATAATCATTAAACATGTAACTATTTAAGCTTTATAAGCAACAGGATATTTTTGATGTGCAATGTTAAAAAAGTATCTAAGTCCCTTTTCTGATTTAAAAGTGTCCCACTCCACTCTTCATGCATGTTTTTGCAGTGACTGCAGCCATGGCTCCTGTGAAGCTGACCCGCTGGGGAACTCCGGAGATCAACATGGAAACCATGCAGACCAGTGAACCCTGGGTGTTTGCAGGAGGAGACGTTGCTGGTTTGGCGAACACCACAGTGGAGTCTGTGAATGACGGCAAACAGGCTTCATGGCACATTCACAGATATATGCAGGTAAATCCGTCCTAGTCTGGTTTATTAGAATCTATTATCCTTAACCAACTGTGTTCACATTTTACTTGACTGTATAAACAACCTTAGCATTGTTCCAAACATTTGGTTTCTAAGATTCAGAAGATTTTCTTAAGATTTACTTCAGGATTTGTGTGATCATTTTTGACAGTCAGACAGGTCAAAACAGAGCAGATATGTTAATGATCGGTGTTGGAGGAAGGTGTTGCTGTCATGCAGTCTGGTTTAATGCAGCAATGCTTATAATTCTGAAAAGAAATTCTATCTGTTGTTTTTCTAGTCCCTCTATGGACACACAGTGGACACCGTCCCAAAGCTACCTTTGTTCTACAGTGCGATAGATCAGGTGGATATCAGTGTGGAGGTTTGTGGTCTGAAGTTTCCCAACCCATTCGGCCTAGCTTCTGCTCCTCCCACCACCAGCACAGCCATGATCAGACGAGCCTTTGAGCAAGGATGGGGCTTCGCTCTGACCAAAACCTTTGGACTGGATAAGGTATGAACGTGAGCGAGTTCATACAAGAGTGAACTCAAACCGAGACGACCTTCTGAATGGGCTGTAAAAATGCGTTGCTGTAGGATCTGGTGACCAACGTGTCTCCTCGTATCGTGCGAGGCAACACCTCAGGGCACGTGTATGGACCGGGTTTGGGATCCTTCCTCAACATTGAGCTCATCAGTGAGAAAACAGCAGCGTACTGGTGTCAGTCTGTCGCTGAGCTGAAGAAGGACTTCCCTCACAATGTAAAGGATAAGTCAAGTCTTTAATAACATCTGCTAATTAAACCAGTTTGGATGGTTATTAAAGAACTCTTTATTTTTAACAACATGTACTACATTAGACAGACTCTGTGTCTGCAAAACCATGTGAAGCAAACAGAGGAAATCATCAAGTTGTTCAAAATGTCTAAAAACTTTCTTTATCTTGCCCAGATTGTGATCTCCAGCATAATGTGCAGCTACAACAAGGAAGACTGGACAAAGCTCGCCAAGATGGCTGAGGTGAGAGAATCCACATTTTATTGGTTTTTATCCCACACCAAGTGTGATCAGTATTGTGATGATATTGTGAATATGTGTGTGTTTAGGAGTCAGGAGCAGATGCATTGGAGCTCAACCTGTCATGTCCTCACGGGATGGGAGAAAGGGGAATGGGACTGGCCTGTGGACAAGTATACAGACTGCCAAAGCTTTTTGTGCCATAAGTTGTTGTTAGAGTTATTATTATTTAGACCTTTAAGCACACAAGCTTTGCGAAAAGACTAATAACCTCTTTGACGTTTTTAATTTTGTGTTGTCAGGACCCGGTGTTGGTGCGAAACATCTGTCGGTGGGTGCGTGCAGCAGTTTCCATTCCTTTCTTTGCCAAACTTACACCAAATGTCACCAATATTGTTGACATTGCCAAAGCAGCACATGAAGGTAAAGGCTTTTCACCATAACTTTTTTTTTCTTTCCTTTTTAAACGTTTACAGCTAACTTTAAGAACACCAGAGTAATAAATGGACAACTAACAGAAATGGGTTTATTCTCGTAACTTGTCGTGTGTTGTAGGTGGAGCAGATGGAGTGACGGCCACCAACACTGTCTCGGGTTTGATGAGTCTGAAGGCTGACGGCTCTCCCTGGCCATGTGTTGGTGTGAGCAAACGCACCACGTATGGAGGAGTGTCTGGTAAATATTCAGTTCACCTTCTGGGAAACAATACAGAACAATGTGACACAATTTATCCTGATTCAATGTCACACAAAGCTACACAACAAAGAGGCCTGTGAATGGACTTGTTACACAGTAATGCTTCACAAAATATTTGGGATGTCTATGAGCTAAAGGCTGAAATGAAAGAGTTGATAGGAGTAAAAAAATGTAAGAGCATATTGGAAAATTAATTGCATATTTTAATTTGTAAATATGGAAACACAGCATTTAAGGAATCCATACAATGTGAATTCAATGTAAAAATGACTGGGAATAATTTGTTAAGCAATGTTTTAGCATCTTATTTGTACAGTAGTGTACTCCAATAGTATAAAACAACTCCCTCTAAATGGAGTACCTACTTTTCTAAACACTGCTGGTTGCAGGTAATGCCATCAGACCCATCGCTCTCAAAGCCGTGTCAGCCATTGCTAGGGCAATCCCCGGTTTTCCTGTCCTGGCCACCGGTGGTATCGACTCGGCAGAGAGCGGACTCCAGTTCCTCCACGCTGGAGCCTCGGTGTTGCAAGTAATGACAAAAATACATGTACTTGTTTTTCTTCTAATGTGAGATTGATCCACACAATAAATGTTTAGACTGTAAATTCTCATGTGGACAAAAATTACATAGTTGACCATAGTTGTTACTCTGATGTTTGCAATGCATTAGCACTCCTATTTCTACCAACAACGGTGCCAGCAGTTCACTTATTTCTTGTTGTGTGAAACAGTCACTGTGAAGGGAAGCAGCTGGAAGTCTAAATTTTCTTCACATAATCAGTACATGTTTTACTTAATAGAGTAAGATACAATAAGTGGCTGTTAAAACCTTCTTCTGTGTTACCGATAAACAACCAACCATCTGTTTGATGTTATTTTGTTAAAATGGTAGTTTGAGTAGAAATAATCTGTGTATTTAATACAAAGACATCTGTCCTCATCTATCTCCTTATAACAGGTGTGTAGTGCAATTCAGAACCAGGACTTCACGCTAATTGAGGATTACTGTGTTGGTATGTGACGCCACCTCATTTTGGACCTATTTACAATCTTTAGATTGTTTGATTCCAGCATCATGTTTAGTATAAGTATGTGTTTAGGTCTGAAGGCCTTATTGTACCTGAAGAGCCTGGAGCTAAAGGACTGGGATGGTCAGTCTCCTCCAACTGAAAAACATCAGAAAGGAAAACCAGTTCTCAAACTGGAAGACCTGGTTGGGAAGGTAAACAAACAAGATCTTGTTATAACTGCATTAACATTGATTAATGGATTGGCTGTTGTGTTTGTAGGTAATCTCTGATTTTTGGCAATTTAGTGGTAGCAGTACCATTGAAAATAACAAGAGGTATTTGAATAAATATTTCATAGTTCCTATTTATTTTTGATGTGTGTGTGTGTTTATAGACCCTTCCTAGCTTTGGTCCATACCTACAACAGAGAACTGAAGCCATAGCCAAGTACAAAAGTGAACTCAGAAAAGCTGATAAAACAGATGTGACAGACACAAACGTCAATCGTGTCAACCAGCCCAAAAGACCAGTTCCTGCTGTCAAGGTAGCTCACAATTTTGATACAGAATAATCAATTAATTTTCATTAATTTAAAAGGAGCTTGCTGTTTTTGTAGGATGTGATAGCCAGAGCACTGCGTTACATCGGAGCATATGGGGAACTTAACAACATGGAGCAGGTACACAAGCTGTTTTCACAAACTATAGCTAGTTATTTTTTATTTAAACTTTTTTCTTCCAGATAAAACACAATTTAAGTGAGGACACCAACTAAAAAGTCTTATATCATATGTCATTTTAGGTCCAGGCTCTGATAGACGAAGATATGTGCATCAACTGTGGTAAATGTTACATGACTTGCAACGACTCAGGATACCAGGTACGCCTTTCTGTTAAATTAAAAGCATTTCTCTGTTATCAAAAATATTGATTTTAACATAGTTTTTTTTATTATCAGTTTTTATTTGCTGGAGAGATTAATATGATTTCTATATATATACCCAGGCTATACAGTTTGATCCAGAGACCCATCTTCCTTTCGTGACGGACAGCTGCACAGGATGCACTCTTTGTCTCAGTGTCTGCCCCATTATAGACTGCATCAATATGGTTACCAGGACAACACCTCATGTACCTCAGAGAGGCATACCCATTAGCCCTGTCTGCTAAAGGGATTATTAAACAGAACAAACCAATTAAATGTTGAGATTAAGCATTTTTCTGCTTTAGTTT